GTGTTTTTGGGGTGGTAATTATGCTAATCTCCTCTCGCGTGCACGAGCAGCTGGATAGAACAGGTGGAATTACACTTTTCCTGAAGATAGAAGAGTTTGTTGAATCTGACGTGACATGTTCGTACGAACCCTTTGTACGAACAAAAGTAAGAGAAATTTAGGATAAGAATATGAACATGTTCTTGCATGAAGCCCAATGTTTCCATTTCATATTCAGATCAAATCAGTTACTTTTTGTTAGCTCCAGAGCTAATGAGTATAGCATTAGCTCCCAAGCTAGTAGTATAAATATTAGGGCTGGGTTTAAAAATCGATTTAATCAATCTGGATCGATTTTCATTCAAATTTGGGAAAATCGATTCATTAGTCATGAGATTGATTTTTCCCCATGGGTGTTGTGTGCGATAAAGCTGTGTGTTTCCATGTTGTGTGTCACTCCTGGCTTGCCATAGATTTATATCCGGTTGATGTTGAGCACTAATGTTAGCTCCCGACAACAAGTTGTCTGGATCAAAACAAAAGAAACAAAGGAATCACTAACATTACAGCTGATTCTCAGCTGAACTTAAAGACGACAGAGGCCATGATAACTTTTGTTTGCAAAGATTTGCACTCGGACGTGGTAGCGAGAAATGAAGCTTCGAGCGGCTCGAACCAAAGCTACTGTWTGTAAACATCTGACTGAAACTGTTCTCCTCGGCATGTATAAATGTGTGAAAGATGACAGTCTAACGACATTTAGTTTTGTTACCAATATTATTTTTAAGTTTAAGAAACATCTTAATGTAATTCACAGTGATTGAACGTTTTAGCTGAAGTACTCTTTTTTTTTCTTTATTTCTTCTTGTTAATAAGTTTTATTGAACCGAAGCTAACAGAAATATTACAAATATACAATTTTCATACTCTCAAAAGAGTGGGCAGAAGTAAACACATATTATCCCACCTCTTCTCCTATAACCTTATTCCATCACTTCTTAGTGATCAAGACAATTAGTCTTAGTTTCTTAGAAAACCAATGTATCCAATAACACTTTCTCTTGCAATTCTTTTTTAGTTTAAACCCTTTGAAACTTGAGATAGTTTTGTTTTAAGATTAAACTCCAGTTCACGAGTTTAAAAGTAAAATTATGTTTATAGTTTTACCAATGCACCAAGTTAGAATTAGTTTCTACTTGCAGAATTAGTTCCTTTGAGAATGTCTTACATATCAAAGTAAATGTGTTACTGTATGATATCCTTAACTCATTTAAAAAYCGATCAAACTGAATCGTGAATCGTCCTGAATCGTTGTGAGTCATTGTGAATTATTAATCTAATCGACCCCTGTGAATCGAATCATATCAATTTGGGAAATCTGAATTGATACCCAGCCCTAATAAATATATGGAATTCACTCCAGAGACTGTATAGTGTTAGCATCCAAACTGATGTATAAATATATATRGCAAATATTTTTTGCGCTAATGTTTACATTTGATTTTCCTGCCCACTCAAGAGCAGAATGTCACTTCTGGAGCAACTAAAAGTAGAAAGATACRCAAGTCTGAAWCTGATCCATCATGTTTGTAGCACCRCTAGCATCATACTGTGTATGCTGGTGTCTCAATTATCAGGACATGATGAATCAAGAAAGCTTAAAAAAGATGAAGCAGCTGACTTCTGTTCTGTAGCTGAAGACGAACTGAGTTCTGATGACAATGATATCAATAATAACATCTGGATGGATCCTACCTCATTGAGACATGATCATTGAGACTATTTGAAAAACATCAGATATGGATCTGACTTAGTACAACATATGAACAAAACCTTGGTCGGATTTCAAATACTCTAATTTGTCATGTTCAGATGGTCCTAAAAAATCAGATTTACCTGCTGAATTATTCTAAAAAATTGTACAAATCTACAGTATCAAAACTCAAATTTAGTCTATATTATGTTTACATTATCTGATTTTGAACTTCCAGCCTGTATGCTCTATCACAGTGGTTCCCAAACTTT